CCCCTTAAAGTCCAGGTCTCAGCTCCATACTGGAACACGGGGAAGATGTAGAACTCCACCAGTTTCCGGAGTACCGGCCACTAACGATATGAGCTCTCCGTGCACTTTTGTCCTGAGCTATACTCTCCTCTACCTCTGTCCGTCCAGCGGCATCCCATCTCCTATAGATCCGAATCTAAATCTCTCCTTCAAGTATTTAAGGCATTCCTTTCTTTCTCTTTTCATTCCCGTTCCCATCTTAAGGCTTGGACATTCGTGATCCCTTTCAGTTTTCCCCAGGTGTTGTATTTATTCATTTACCATGTCTCCTTTCTAATTTATATCTCTATTTTCTGTTTATCTGTTTACTACCATAGTAACTGTTGTTCATTTCTTATAATGTCAGGCCATTAGTCGTCTTAGGATTTATCAAAAGCATCAGTTCACAAAAGCCTTAAGTTTTTTGGGTTTTTGTTGGGTTGTTTTTTTTTGTTTTTTTTGTTGTAAGTCTGTTTTGTAAGTTTCCATGTTTATAACCCATAAAGAGTACACATTTAACACTGCAATTCCTCAGATTTTTAAAGTTCTCTCTGACATTTTTGGTCGTTTTGAGTTACAAAGACCATGAGGTCAGAAACACGAAAATCTATCTGCTGTATAAAAATCGTAAGATTTTTGGAGTCGTTATCAAGATATTCAAAGAATTGCATTCAAAAAAGCAATTAATATTGATAAATATTGTGAAACTCCAATTTTTTAACGTCAAATTTCTCAAAACTAAGTACTGAGCAGATAGAACTTTGTAATTCTATGGTAGCGACTGGTGTTGAAAAATCCTTGATGTCTCTTATTAACCTGCTTTTATGTTGTGGATCTAAGGTATATTTAGCGAAGAACGACGGTTCTCTATCTGAAGTATGCATGCATGTGTATCAGTTCTACAGACATAATAATTGACTTGAGAGCTAGAGAGGGACACAGCAAAAATAGCAAAATGGTGGCTTTTTATTGTACGAGATTTGTAAAAAGGGGTTTTCGCAATACCAAAATTGGAAATTAGTTAAATTTCTTTTTATTTCTGTTTTTGTCTGTCCTTTTCTTGTTGGCTGAAAAAGAAATGATGATCAGTGTTAAATATTGAGAACACAGACTTACTTACGTTTCATAGTAATTAATTACTTTTTTAAAAATCTATTTTTTAAAATATTATTTTATTTCATTTTATTCTATTTTATTTTATTT